GCGGACACGCCCTCTGCGGGCAGAGGCTGAGGGGTGCTCCATTGTGTCTGCTCTCTTTTCCGTAGTTCCTTCTGTGAGAAGAGCTTGGGCTCCAGAGACGCTCCCAAGAACCGCTGTCCCAACGTGTGGGATCTGCTGTTCCTCCTCCCAGTGTGTTGAGCCTCCTCCCGGGGCAGGAGGCTTCTCTGGTCACGTGGACTGGGGGGCGGGGACTCTGCCCTTGACGGTCCCTCTCCCTTCCTTCCCTGTTACCTTCTGTCTACATTTCTGTTCCCTGTAACTGCTGAGGACTCTGCCTGATTCAGCTGTGACTCCTCGCCCTACACTCACACCGATACACGCAAACACACAATCACACACAAAAACACACAGCTTGTTTGGACAAGCACAAGCCTGGGGTGTCGGTGTCCAGGCCATGTTCTACTTTGGATGCATAGTAGCCTCCCTCACAGCCCTCTCTCATCCCCATCTGGCTTTTCTCTTAAGAGTAGAGCCTGGTGGCTACATGAGAAACTCTATTTTATTATTATTTTTTTTATTTTTAGCTGAGCCATCCTGCCACTTGTTGGCAGCTCAGCGTCGCTCAGAGCTTGCACTCTTGAGCGAACCTTTAACCAACAGAGCCACTAGGCCAGCCTTGAAACTCTTGTTACAGGGAAGTTACCCACACTGTGCATCAGATCATCTGTGAAGCTTTATAAAGATTCTGATGCCCAGCTAACCTGGATACAAGCCAGGCTGAGACCCTGTGGGGAGGGGGTGGGGCAGCTGCCCCCCCCCCCTCACACACACACACACTTCTGTGGGAGGGGCTGTAGATCCTACTAAAAAGCAGACTGTGACTCCACCAGGTGTGTAGTGGACCAACAGTCTGCATCTAACAAGCTCTCAGGAGACACTGATCATACTGGCTTGTGGAGCACTTTCTGTATCAAAGCTGATGGGGACCCCTGTCCCTTAAGAGTACAACTCACCTACCTACCTCAGCATTGGTTCTGCTGTGTCTTGGTTTTGGGTCCCTCAGAACCACACAGAGAGCCCCAGGTGTCCCCGAACCTGGTGAATATCTCCATTTGTGACACAGAAATCCTGCTGGGCACCGGGATCTTCCCCATGTTTTCAAAGCCCTGGGAAGACTGGATTTCCTCCCAGCAGGAAGGTCACAGAGATGACTGGAGGTGAGAAAAGGGTGAGCTGCATAAGGACTGGTGAGGGTGTTGTGTCTGCTTTCTTGCGGGCCGTGAAAGAATTCACGAAGTCAGGTAGAAATATAGAAATATAGAAGATTTATTAAAGTAAGAGAAGGGTGGCTGGGCAGAGTCTGCGGACAACTACTGCAAACTACTACGTTGAGTCTTTGCTTTAAGTTTTATATTTTCCTGTAGTTGGGGGGTGGGGAAGCTATGGTTAAGCTGGTTATCACAATCTTTGCATACGTTATGTAGATTTAAATTAGAGCCTGGAGAGTGGATCCTATACATATGCAAAACCTCTCCCAAGTCACTGGCCTAAGTAAGTAGAAACTTTGAAACTGCATAGTAAATGAATAGGAAGCAGAATCATTAAGAGACAAAGAAAAGAAACCTTTCAAAAAGCCCCAAGGCAAATTATTAATTTGAATTATATCGGAGGTCCAAATCTCAAAAAGAGAAGATTTAATGCCACCATTACAATCCCTTGTCTTAACGGAGGGGACGGACCCACCTTCTATCTCCAGGTGTCACCAGCCTGGTCTCTGCTTCCAGGAACAGAGACCCAGGACCAGGCAGGCATCTCAGAAAGACCTGCAGTTCCCAGATGTGAAGGGGGAGGTGTCCTGTGTGTCCTGGGAAGAGAGGATGGTGTGTGTTGGGGAATGGGGGGGAGTAGTATGGTGGCTGTGGGCTCCCTTGTCCTGGGGGGGAAGTTTTCAGGGAGAACCTCTCTCTCCATGTCTGTAGGCTGAGCCCTGGCTCAGAGCTTAGCTTGTCCATGTGCTAATTGACCATTGGGGCAGCCTCTGTCCTCTGTGTTAAGACAGGGGGGATGTAACGGTGGCACTAAATCTTCTATATTGAGATTTGGATCTCTAGGATAATGATTTAACAAGTGTAATGTAGCTTGGGGCTTTTTGAAAGCTTTCTTTCCTTTCTTTGCCTCTTAATGATTCTGCTTCCTGTCCATTTACTGTGCATACCAGTTTCAATGTTTCTATTTACTTCGGCCTAGTGCTACCCTGTGACTAGGCAGAAGTTTTGCATCTGTATGGGATCCGCTCCTGGCTCCAACTTAAATCTGCATAACATGTGCAAAGGTTGAGAAACATGTGCAAAGGTTGAGATAACTAGCTTAAATGCTTCCCCCACCCCAATTGACAAAGCCGAACTGAACAGAAAATTCCACTACTGGCCGAAGCAATTTACATGCTGGTTAGGAAATATAAAACCTGAGACCAAACAAAGACTCGATGCAATGGTTTGCAGTAGTTTCCAGCAGACTCTGCCCAGCCGACCCTTCTCTTACTTTAATAAATCTTCCTTCTATGTCTACCTGACTCGTGAATTCTTTCACGGCCCGCGAGCGAGCAGACACAACACTCTGCATGGAGGATTTTCTTGTGTTCACCCCGCCTTCCTCATGGGTGGTGCCAGGCAGGCAGCCGGGAGCAGCACAGGGACCCCAGACAGAGCACGTGCTCTTAGGTCCCTAGAAGGAGCAAGTGGGACACAGCAGGCACGTGGGAGGGGCCCAGCAAGGTCTGTGGGATGGAAATCAGGCTCCTCTTCCATTTCCGTTGCCAAAGCCAGGTTCATGTGTTAATTTCCTGTGTGTTGTCTGTGTGTCCCAATCTCGTCCCTGGAGGGCACGAGGAGAGTGGGCCCTTCTCGGCGTGACATCTAGGTTCTTGGCAGCTGGAGCAAAGAATTGAACGATACGGAGGTAAAGTAGTGAAAAGGCAGTTTTATGAAGAGATAGTACACTTCCAAGAATAGAAGCAGACCCAAACAGGAGAGAATGGCTCAAGGGCCCATTATTAGAAGAGAAATTACACTTCAAAGAGTTTGGAGCGGGTCACACACAAAGGAAGGAGCTTAGAAGGTGCTCAAGGCTCAAGGGGTTCAAGGTGGCATTATTAGGAGAAAAAGTACACTCCAAAGAGTTGGGAGTGGGCCGAAGAAAGGCAAGGCTCAATGCTGGGGCCCAGAGCCCGAAGGGCAGGGCAAACCGCATCTGCCTTTCCGCCTTGGAGATATCCTATCACTATGGACCAGGCCTTGAAAGGCAGAACCGCCCAGGGTCCGCCCCGCCTCCCTAGCAACCCCACTACCGCCCATCAGTCTACTTCCTCTTTCTCTTTGAACATAT